TTTCTGATACATACATATTTTCGCGGGAATATTTATTTGTTTGTTTCGCCCTTGTATTTATTTATTTAGGCCATCACTACTTATTTTCTTTTCCACGCCCCTTTTTGTTTCTTTTTATTTTCGTATAAATATTTTAGCCATTTTATTACTTATTTTTACGGTCTAAGTTTTCTTTATACGCATATTTTACGAAAATATCTATTTTCTTTGTCTGTTTTTTTTTGTTTTTAGCTAATCGCGCTTCTTATATCTTGACCTCCTGCGTTTTATATTTTCTTATTGTAAAATTAAAGGGTTTCGTTCCTATTAATGAATTGTCATTAAAAAAATATCTAGACGCGAAGTCCGCGGAAAGCTCGTGCCGCAATTGGGCGATTCTTTTTCCCGACCGTTGGGCTGCCTCCTCGCGATTACGAAAAGTCCTTACAAATAATCGTCGCTCGGGAAGGAAGCAAGACGCGATCTGTTTCACGCGGAGAAAATCCCGCTGGAAAGCGCTCGTCGCGCGTTTGCGTGCCGAATCCGGGGCTCCATTTGAAAAATGTCACCGCGCGCGCGAGACATTTCGCGATACAATTTCGTTGGCGCGTTCTCGTATATTAAATTCTTCCGCCGAATACGTGAGAATTTGCGAATTTTCAAATTGGAAGACTAATATTTCGGGAAAATATCTGGTGAGCCACTGATCTTCTCAAAGAAAGAAAAAAGAGAAAAGAGAGATCATCGCCTGCGCGTTCTGCATCTCTCAATGCACCTTGCAAAACCATCCCCTCCTCTCTTTCTATCCCCTCTCTCTTTTTCTCTTTCTGTGTGTGTACACGCAGCGCGAGAACCCGTTTTCGCCGGCTCCGTCACCAATCCACGCGCGTTTCCGCTAAAACCTTCGTTTCTACCTCGTTTCCACAAACTCCGGGCGCGTTGGTGACTGACGCGTCTGTCGGCTCGCGGCGATGGAAACCGACGACAAGCGTGCGGGCGGGCGCGCAGTGGCGGCGGCGGCAGCGGTAACCAAACTCCATTAATCAAGCGGCATTCGTCGCGCTTAATGAAAAGGCCAAATATCGCCCCGGCGTGAATGAAAGATAGCCGCACGCGGAAACGATTCAAACTGCCGACGTGAACTGCCAAAGCGACCGGGCGACGTGCAAATTTCGCCGCGCGACCGCCACGGCTGCTCATGTCGGATTTGGCGCGGCGATACAAATGTCCGGCAACAGCCCCAACACAGCGCTATCATTAGCGGAACAAAAAGAAGGTGGGAAACTCTGAACTTTCTACTCCTGCGGCGAAGGAAGCGACACGACTGACGCGTTGTTTTTCAAAATTATATATTCAGAACTCGAGTCAAAATAGGATCAAAATTTTGATCCTATTTTTAGCCTTACACTGAGAAAAAAATATCTAAACAAATATTAAATTAAATTAATTAATTATAGAAAAATAAGAAATAAGTTCTTAAGTAAGTCTTTCTTTCTTAACTTTAACGTGGAAGACACGAAAGTAAGCAATAACGTCGAAAGTAGGACAACAGTCTATAACAATGTTAAATTTCTCATCGATCCTTCAAGTTTGATAGAACAAGATTAATATAGAAGTCAAGTTTTTCGACTCACACAAAGTCTCTTCGTGCTAAATAACCCATTATAGCACCGAATGTAAGACAGTATAGCGTGTAATAACGTTATATGTAACGTTATATATAAGCGAGATTCACCGTCGGTCTTTCGAGCTCGTGGTGATTTGCACGGTTAACGTGGCGGCAAAATTGCATCCCCAAAAGCGTTCACTTTAATCTACGTTAAACATGTTCCTGTTTCAGCTTCTTTTTCGTATATTCGGCTCAGGTCGCCCAGCTGTTCGCTAGAACTTTGCTCTGCGATGGCCGAATTACCCGTGGCGGTTGTAAGAACACCGAGATCGCCCGTAAGATAATGCTTTAATGTATGATAATTAATAACGGACCGTATGCCGCGCACAGGTGAAAAATAAGAGACTCGGTTCCGACGACTTAAGTGAGTCGCGTCGCGCGGCTAGCCGCAGTTGCAGGCGACCTTATTGTTAAGGTCGCGAGACGAGGGTGAAATTTTCCACGGGGATGGCGGCGATGGCAGCAGCGATAGTCGTCGCGACGACCGCGCTCCACTTATCTTATAAGTTACACACCGCGCCACAGTAAAAACTTGGTCTCGCGGTACGTAATAATAGGCAAGAAAAGGCCCGGGCCCAGTATCTCGCGCTCGGGTTCTTCTATTAAAAAACTTGGCGCCAAAGTATTCTAATAAAATGCAGCTTGCACGTCGATGGTGCAGCGCGTAGAACGCGCGCCGGCCTTTTCCGGTATAGCCGGCGCAGTAATCGGGAAAACTTGCGAGATTGAAGCCGAATATCCACAATAAGCGGAAGCGCGCGGCCGATCGTTACCTCCGACGAAGGAACGCGCGCGTGAAGCGCGGGAGTTATCGCCGAAGGAATTTGTTCGCGCCCAGCGTGCGCGTCGTGGAAACGAATGCTCTGCCAGTGTAAACCACGTATCTCTAACTTGATTACGCGGTAAGTAATTCTTTTCATGGTGTTACGCGTTTTTCATTATATCCCGCATAGAAAATATTTTGACACCTAATTGAGATTTCCCACAATAATCATACACAGAAAAAAAGGTTTGGTTGAATTAACCAAATATCTCATCGAATATGAACGATCCAGAAATTCCCGATTGAAGTAACACGAATTCTGTTTAAGTCAATCAAAAATCTTGTTAAGTTGAATAGATTTTTCGGGTTACTTCAAACTGAATTTCTGAATCGTTTATGTTCGACCAGATATTTGGTTAATTCAACCAAACCTTTTTTTTCCGTGTAGGTTCCGGATGAGAAATATATACAAGTTCGAAGTGTAATGTTTTAAATGCAAATCTAAGTGAAAAACCCAGACGGATCCCATTTGGTTATCCCCAACGTTTTCCCAAAGATTTTTACATTTTAAACTAAAATTGAGCAAAATACAGAGTGCACACTGGAAATACTGGAACAATTTTCGAAACTCTCGTAGAAGCATAGTACGTTTTAAGATGAATATAAAAGTTATACCTATACCGTTTTGCGATATTTGCAATAATTATCGAGATATTAATTAAAGACGATTTATGAATGATCACGCGAGATATGGTAGATGAGCTGTAATGACGACATCTGTCATCATATGCTTGTACATTAATGCTGTAATTCTCAGCAGAATCGTAAGTCTCGTAACTTGTTCTCGTAAAATACGTAAAAACTTATGTGAGTACATTTACAATTCTATGCAATATTATACGTCATACAATTACTTGTAAATATCGATTTCATGTAATTTACGATATTTACAAGTGATCGTACGACAAATGGTATTGCATACAATTGTAAATCTACTCATAAATTCTTACGAATTTTACGAGAACAAATTGCGAGACTTGCGGTTCTGCTTAGAATTGCAGAATAAGTCAAATTGAACGAAAAAGTCTCTAAAGTCTCCTATCTTTTTCTCAATAACTTTGTTTAATTTTGTATATATGTAGATTTTTATTAATTAGAGAACATTGATATTATCGCGAGTGATCATCCGCCAATTTTCTTTAATTAATAATTAAGAACTTACAGATAAAAACATCACATGAAATATCCAGGTTTTGTTGAGACCTTACTTTAATAATATTTTTGCATAATAATTTCAAAAAGAATAAAAAGGATTGGTAATACATTGAGAAGAAAAAGTCTAATGTTCGTAACTATAATCGCGTAGAGAAATAATAACTACAAATTATGGCCCAGAAAATAATTTTTTGATTAAATCCTATTGTGCAATGTTCTTATATGCATGTATGTTACTATCACTATTTTATTATAAAAAACATGGTCGAGATCAGAAATAACTATAAATTCATTTAAATCGATCATTTTTTTCTCAGTGTAAAAGAAGAGAATTAATAGTAAAGAGAATAGAAATAGAGTAATGAGAATAAATAACTGGACAACTCTCGAGCGCCAAAACGTCTCAGTAATTTGAGAATTATGGGAAAAACTCAAATAATCCGCTATCTTGAGTGTCCTTGAATAGAATTGACCTCACTAGAGAACGCTCGACCGTTTCAAGTGTAATCGCGATCGTCTGGTGACAATTATTACGGCAGGAATAATGACGACGTGATCGGTGACAATAATTATCGACACGAGACAATTACGCGAACAGATAAACGCAACACGCGACATTGATCCTCATCGGCACGTGGATGGATCCGTGCGAAATGCCGAGGTGTTTGCGCTGAATTTACATCATTTCCGCGCGCGGCCACGGATTTATCATGATCGTTTCTAATCACACAAATATGATAAGCAGAAATGTATGACATCGACAATTCTACAGTGACATCGATCAATCCGCGAAATAAGAGGAAGATCGTGATACATTTTCTTTTTTTCTGTTAAAAGCCCGAATTACTTCGAAAAGAAAAGTACATTTGATATTTGTAACTGTAATTGCAAAAATGATTAACTACCAAACATGACGATGAAGTAATTATGCGGAGAAGATATTGCAGTTTCTTCTTTCATAAAAATTCTTTCAATTTTACACACATCTCTACACGCAGAAAAAGGATTAGCTTGTAAGAGCTAAAATAAAGCCGCGGCAAAAAGTATTCTCTGCTAGATAATTAAAATATTAAATTGCACTTTGCACCAGTGATAGAAACTTTGCTCCGCGAGCAGTATACATCAGTACGGGAGGGGATACGCACACATTCACACGACCGTGTCCATAAGCCTCACGGACACGGTCGCGTGAATATGTGCGTATCCCCTCCCGTACTGATGTATACTGCTCGCGGAACAGTTTCTATCACTGCTTTGCACCCGCGCGAAAAATGAAACTGACGTTTCGCATCGCAGATCCATTGGTTTTTAACAGAGATCAATAATCAATGCGCGCTTTAACGCCAACAAAAATCCAATATTTTTCCTACTCACATGATTACGCTGCGATCCTCATCTCACAGGAGGATGACCTCACGTGCGTCGGAAGCGCGATGATCTCCCCTTTCCGATGATCCTTGTTTCAAGTCGCTACGACGTCTGCAAGTGGAATTATCGACGACTGTATCGATCCGCGTTCTAGATCGTTTGGCGTTACAAGGCGACGCGGAGCGGCACGCGGGCCGACTTTCCCCACCGGTGAGTCACCTTGAACTGACGTCACGTAGCCTACGTGACGGCACGCGGCGAGCGCGGCCGCTACCCCCACTCCGCGGCTCAGATAGCGCTCCCCTTCCTCCCTCCCGCCACGCGCTCCCTCGTTGCGGCCTTGCGGTCGTTCACCTGCTTTAAACCGCGCGAAGCATAGCGCGCAAGCGCAACGTGCGACAGCAAGTGCCAGCGTCAAAGGAGTGCGTGAATTTCGAACTCAAATCTGACGAATTATCCGAGTCGAAATTTGGGCCCTATGTTAAGCCTTGAAATCGACAACGTGGTAAAAGCTAAGTTAGCAAAGTAGATTTTATTCTAAAAATATAATTTACTCCTATTTTGATAATGTCCGAAACTTCCCTTTTCAGTGTCTTTTTAGCGTCAAAGTAAATTGTACAAGTTTCAGAATATTAAAATAGGTGTTGAATAGAATAGTGAGGCTAAAAATAGGATTAAAATTTCGACTCAGGTAGATTAAATAAAATCAGAAGAGATTGATATATAAATTTCAGAATATCAAAATCGACGTCCAATACAATAGTAAAACTGAAGATAGGATAATAATAAGAGTTAAAATTTCAACTCAGGTAGATTAAATAAAATCAGAAGAGACTAATATAAATTTCAGAATATCAAAATCGATGTTCAATGCAATAGTAAGGCTAAAGATAGGATCATAATTTCAATTCATCATAGGAGCATATGAATTTCGAACTCAAATCTGACGAATTACCCGAGTCGAAATTTGGGCCTTATGTTAAATCTTGAAATTTACAACGCGATAAGAGCTAAGTAAGCAAAGTAGATTTTATTCTAACAATTTACTCCTACTTTAATAATGTCCGAAATTTCCCTTTTCAATATCTTTTTAGCGTCAAAGTAAGTTGTATAAACTTCAGAATATTAAAACAGATATTGAATGAAATAGTGAGGCTGAAGATAGGATTAAAATTTCGATTCAGGTAGATTAAATAAAATCAGAAGAGATTGATATAAATTTCAGAATATCAAAATTGGCATTCAATACAATAGTAAGGCTGAAGATAGGATAATAATTTCAATTCGAGTACTGCAATTAGAATATCGACATATCTCTCAACTAAAATTTTGTAGTGATTTTTGCTATAAATTTCTCTCCATGTCTAGTCAGAATTACCAAATGCTAATAGTGTGTTAGTAATAATAATTGTCTTCTATGCACATAATTCTGCTGCTTTTGTTTTCTTGGAGCAACAAGAAAATGTGGTTCTTATAAAAACTGATTGTTAGTTTGGTGCAGCAGGTTTGTTGAATAAAAATGAAAGATGAATTCCTACGAACAAAATGAACATCGTCTCAGTATTTTTTTCGATCTCGCGAGAACTCGCCGCATTTCTATTAACGCTTGGACGCTTTTCACGAGAATATCAGGGAAAAACGACGAATCTTTCGCACCAACCTGATATCATTTGTATCGAGATTAACGACTTTTTCTCTCAATGCAATATCCTCATGGCGAACGTGGAAAGAACAGAGAAAGAGAATTGTGTAACGCTTCCGGCCGATTCGCACCGCGTGTTACAACACATCGACGCGCTCCAATACGTTCCGCAGCGGCGACGGCGTGCTAATTACCCGATTAAATCGCCATTCAAATTTCCCTCGCCCGCTCTCTTAACTCGGCGTTCACTGGGCGCGTTGCCGCGTCGCGACGACACTCGGTACACGCGGTATCGAACGTCAATTAAAATTCGATGTCCACCCGCCGACGTGTTCGTGTAAAGCAAAAATAACGACAATGCGCGCTCTCTCTCTCTCCCTCCCTCCCTCTGGCATTTGAATTTCACCCGACGGCCATCTCTCTCTCTACCGACGTCGACGAGGACAGCGGTGGCGGCGCTTCGCCCCGACGTAGATCGCAAAATCGTCCTTCATATGCATAAACGAGCCTCGCCGCGTGCATATGCACGCGAAACCTGCTGATGACGCGTGTGCGGCCCTGACACGTGCGCGTCCTCGTCCTCGCCGACCTCGTTCCCGTCCTCCATCACTGACGTCGCCGTCGCCGTCGTTGGGAATCAATTAGCACGACATGCGCCGGAACCCTTTGGGATACGTGTAACACCTTCCATGCCTTCGTGCGAGCACGAACACTTTTCGGCATTTAACGTGGCGGCAGTAATGGCGGAAACGGCGGGGGCGACAGTGGCGGCATGCACGAGCGGGCACGTGTTCGCGTTTGTTCGCTCGCGCGATTTATTTCAACAGCGTCGCCGCGGGTCACGATAATGGGATAACAACATCGCTTCTCTCTCGTTCTCTCTCCCGCTCCCTCTGAAATTACACATGGCGAATCTCGGCGGCCGCGTGCTCGTGCCCGGCGTAACTTCCAGTCTTAATTACCGAGATAATGAGTCGAGAAAACAAGTCGAAGTGGCCACTTTTCGATAATGCCCTCATGGCGCGCGACCACAAATGCGCGGCCGCACTGCAACGCCCTCGAAGTCACGCGTTATTGCGATTATCGACTCGTATCTCGAAGCGTGTGATTACAATTGCCAATTGTTCATTGAAAAAGTATTTGCTGTAATACGAAGTTTTTCTGTAGAAAAATTGCATTTTCATAAATTTCCTCGCATTTTGGACAATTTTAAGTTTTATAGTCGAGTTTAGCAGCCCCAAAAGTATAAAGACAGACTGATTTCCCTTATGGGTAAATTTTGACTCTTTTTCAACATTGTTCTTTCTATGTGGATATGCATGTATATGTTCGTTTCGTTCGGCAGCTTATTATTCGTTCGTTTATTCGCGTTAACAACGATAGTTGATAAATAAATATAAATATATATATATAGATCATGCCGGCTAATCACGTTACATGGCTAATACGCCATCGATCAATAAACGGTTCGCGGCAGTTTCATCCATTCGCGATAATACAGGCAAACGCACTCGTTGCTTGATATCAGCAATATTCTAACTCCATTATCGCCGTACCACAAAACGCAATCGGAATCCCGATATATTCCAGCCGCGATTTAGAACAATCCCGACAGCTCTCGGCAAGCCCGCGAGTTGCAAAATGCCGCGCGATTTGTTTCATCCCCAGATAGACTTTCTCGATTATCGCGATACGAGACAATCGATGACGGCAACTCGACCACTTTTTTAATCACATTCGTGAAGCGAATATACTCTACTGAATTAATCGCAAAATTTATGCCACACAATAATATAGAATTTACAAAGCGAATATATATTTTGCTGAATCGTAGAATTGTTATCGTGTAATAATGTAAAATTTTTGCTAGATCGAAAAGATCTGCTAAATTTTACACCCAGATCTTCATAAATATATTCCATTTTATGCACAGTAAAAAACATTTTGTATTTATATTGATATCAAACTGTGTTTTTGTTTTTTTTAACGTATATGTGTGTTAATTTCACATGTGTCGTTGTGTTATATTAACTGCGTCGAGTTCATACTCGCCATTTTTATAAGCATTGAAATAACACAATTTGTATGCAGCGTGTATATTTTTGGTGAGATATTTTACACATGATATATACATACACGTTATGTTATTTGTTAATGTATTTCGTGTTGAATGCCCAAAAATTAGAGCTGATAAATTGGGACGTGTGAGATTCAACACAAAATTTTCTAACATAGATGAGCAATATAAATTTTGAGCAAATTCTAATTATTCCTTTTACATTTCTTTCACGTATTTCTATTCTACTATTTTATGTGATACATATGAGCGATGTATGAAATATTCGTAAGGAATACAAACTTTCACCAAATTAACTGGTAAAGTAGCTGCCAAAGAGTGCGATCAAGAGAGGCCCAGATTCATGGCCGAAAAGTTTTGAAACCATTTTAGGCTTAAAATAAAGTTTATGGTGCGTAAATTACAAATATATGCAAGTACCAAGATGATCAGGTTTCAGGTTCCGGAGATATGATCCATTGAAAATTCAACTTTTGCGAGATGGCGCTATGCTTTCGCGAGAGAAGAGTGCAGTTCCTTTCGAAATGGATCGATCTGTATTATCCATTAAGATAATGAATATCAGAGAGATACAAAAGTGTTTGACGCGTAATAACCACGGCTGCAGTTCAACGCGAAGAGCACTGACGCCATTTCGTGGAAGTGGAATCTTCAATCGGCCATATCTCTGGAACCTGAGATCCGAGTACTTTGGCACTTGTATATTTGTAATCTACACACCATAAACTTTATTTTAAACCCAAAGCAGCTTCAAAATTTTTAGGTATAGATCCGAACCAATGGACACTTGACTTTATCCGCATACCTTTCTCTTTTTCCCTCTTGTTCCAATACTATCACGAACGCGCGTTCTTCATGGGCACACATTTGTCAAAAGCGCGAGCTGTTTTCAAACTCGCCACTTCCGCGGATTTTTCCGGCGGAAAAAAACGCGGCTCCTCGTCTCTCCTCGTCCGGTTTTATACACATACACACACACACACACACACACACACACACGTGAGCGCTAATCAGTCGTCGCGCGGAGGTGAAATTGCGCTAGGCTACTTTTTCTTTTTTTCTCTCCTTCCTTCTCTCTCTCCCTTTTGTTTTATTACACTTCATCTTTCATTCTCTCCTGCCCCCCTCCCTTCAACCGTGGAATTTGACGAACGAGCGCGGGCGCGCGAGTGTCCGTCGGTGTCGCGAGTCGCCGCGATGCTTTCGGAAGTGCGCGCGTACACATAAACGGGCTTGTCCGTTCATTCGCACATTTCCAACAGCGGGCGAAATAGCCACGGGCCGGTAGGTACGGTACGTGCCCTCTCCCCCCTCCTCTCCGTCCATCGGCCATTCAGCTTCGGGTTTACGCGCGTATGCACGTGTAATCCCTGCGGGGTTTATAGGCCACCAT